GGCAGTTAGACTTAATAATATGCAGTATCATTGTATAATAGATGTTAGCCGGGCAGTTAGCCGGAACAAAATGCAGTATCATTGTATAATAGATGTTAGCCAGGCATTTAGACTTAATAATATGCAGTATCATTGTATAATAGATGTTAGCCAGGCATTTAGACTTAATAATATGCAGTATCATTATATAATAGATGTTAGCCAGGCATTTAGACTTAATAATATGCAGTATCATTGCATAATAGATGTTAGCCGGGCAGTTAGACTTTACAAAATGCAGTATCATTGTATATTAGATGTTAGCCGGGCAGTTAGACTTAACAAAATGCAGTTTCATTGTATAATAGATGTTAGCCAGGCATTTAGGCTTTACAAAATGCAGTATCATTGTATATTAGATGTTAGCCGGGCAGTTAGACTTAACAAAATGCAGCATCATTGTATAATAGATGTTAGCCGGGCAGTTAGACTTTACAAAATGCAGTTTCATTGTATAATAGATGTTAGCCAGGCATTTAGACTTTACAAAATGCAGTATCATTGTATAATAGATGTTAGCCAGGCAGTTAGACTTAACAATATGCAGTATCATTGTATAATATATGTTAGCCGGGCAGTTAGACTTAACAATATGCATTATCATTGTATAATAGATGTTAGCCGGGCAGTTAGACTTAACAATATGCAGTATCATTGTATAATAGATGTTAGCCAGGCAGTTAGACTTAACAATATGCAGTATCATTGTATAATAGATGTTAGCCAGGCAGTTAGACTTAACAATATGCAGTATCATTGTATAATAGATGTTAGCCAGGCAGTTAGACTTAACAATATGCAGTATCATTGTATAATAGATGTTAGCCAGGCAGTTAGACTTAACAATATGCAGTATCATTGTATAATAGATGTTAGCCAGGCAGTTAGACTTAACAATATACAGTATCATTCTATAATAGATGCCACAGGATGCTTACACAGATATAGTTGCATGGTTTAATTCGATACCTACTAGACTGATACCATTAACGTACTGAAGAGCAGTATCAAGCCATTGTAGAGATGTGTAAATGAGTTATCACCTACTAGATTGAATATGATGGAAGTCACCAGAAACAAATCTGTGAATGACAAATAAGATTTATGTTTTACAGATTCCTTTCCAAGAATGTGTTTTTGAGTGGTATAGTTAGTTATAAGATCGATCATTCATCCTCATTAGTTAGGTTTGGATACAAAGGATTGCAATAAAGGCAGAGGTCAGATTGTTTTGGCTTTACATTTATATATCATTATTTCACAGGAATTTAAAAAACACTATATTAGAAAATATTGTTATGTTACTTATCTGTAGATCTTGTATCCTGATTCTTTTCTTTTTTTCGTGTTAATGATCAACATGGAAATTATGAAAGCGTGCTGACTTCTTGCAATATTTGTTGCTAAAGCAACAAGAACGATTATCCATATCTTCCAGTGTACAGTAAAACTGCAGTTTTTATATTTTTTTTTCTTTCCAAAATGAGTTCTTTTATTGAGATATTTAATTTGACTTTTTGTATTTATGACACCAAGCAATGTTTTCCCTGGTCATTTGGTGCCGACACATCCAGTAGCGTTTAAGTGCTGATAATGTAAGGAAGTTATTGTACCTGAGTTTCTATCTTTTACAAAATAATTATTGTGACCTTTGACCTTCTTCATTGCTTCATAGGAAAATATACCGGATATACATCTTGAATCTTACCGCAAAAACCCCTTTGAGGAAAATCGCAGAGGGGAAAGGAATAGAGAATACAATGAGTTTCTTAGCCAGGTAAGTCCAGTTTCTATTTCAGTCTAGAATTATTGATCAAACACGAAAATTAAATCGATAAATAATTAACATAATGATCAAAATCATAATTTGAGTTTTGATAGTGCATATTCTACAATTAAACCAGTGCAATTTCAGTAAAAATGACTCATCAAATTTAAGATAATAAGGATTTTCAATTTTTCTAAAAAAGAAGAAAAATTGGTGACTTCTTACTTATTCCATCTTTGCGTATTGCAGAGTTATCTTCTTTTGTGAGCAGGTATTGATTGTTATGTCATTGGTTTGTGTGAGAAAATTGCGTTATTTTCTCAAAAATTGATGACGTTACTCTCACAAACCAATGACGTAACAATAAATACCTGCTCACAAGAGAAGATAACTCTGCAATATGCAAAGACGGAATAGGAGACTTATGATGATGTTGCTTTTATATTGATTTGTGCAACTTTCCATGAGTAAATATGAAGTACATATATGTTATACTGCATGAGGCTAATTTACCTTCAAGTAGCTGTAAGATTGCTTCCAAACGCAACAATTCAGAATGATATTTTCCTGATACATTCCTGTTCCTAGGGTACACTAACACTACATTCCTGTTCCTAGGGTACACTAACACTTGTTTAACTGTGGCGTGTCAGTTCAAGGGAGTTCTGAGGTCAGAGTATAATTTAGATCTAGTGTTGTGTGGTCTGTGCTATATAAGTACATATGAATAATATCAGAGACCAATCCTCTGTAGCCTGATTAGATTTAGGTAGGAAAATGGTTTAAAATTCATCATAGGCTAGCCAATACACATAAAAAATGTACGAAATTTGGAAAGATGGGCCCAATAGTTGAAACAGAAGGATATCTTTAAAAGACCCCTCCCCTAGTACATGTGAAGGGATTTTGATTAAATTTGATCTGAAGCATAACTGGGCAAATGATATTCAGCATCGTATATACAAAGATTGTGGTCACCCTGAGGGCAGACACTGAAAGTTGTCTAAACAAATGATGTGGTTCCTTGGTGACAAAAGTGTAGGACTGAATAGAGGATTTGGTCTAAGTTATCACTAGTCCAAGGGGACTAATGACATTGCAGTATTAAACACAGAGTTGGCTCCCCTTTCATATGTGGGGTCCAATCAGGGGTAAGGGAGGTTAATGTTTAAAAGAAACAATCTTGTGTACAACTGAAGGGATTTTAACCAAATTTGGCCAGAAATGTCAATGAGCACAATTTTGTATTAGCAAAGGGTGTCCACAAAAGCCTAAGGTTTCTTAATACTCAATTCTACCATAGACAATATAAACATTTCTTTACGCAAATGTGATGTTTCTGTCAGATGTTGTTATTTGGAATGAATTCACAATCAAAGATGGCCACTTGCTGTCTAATTGACTGAGACTTTTCAACTTCTCATCTTCGAATATAATATGATCAACTTATATTATTGAGATAAACATAGCTAATATTATATTAGCTATGTTTATCTGAATAATGTCCAGATTAGGTGCTGTTATTTTACGGGTTGATTTGAAAATTTCTGATCGGCTGAGCCATATTTTGACTACGGTGATAATTTGAATTGACCAGATGAAATTTAATCTAATGTTGCATAAATGTTTCTTTCGTTGCTATACCATTTCGATCTCTTGTTTTATTCTGTGGGTCAAATAAGATGTCTGAAATGGCCATAATGGCTTAAGTTAGCCGAAGCAGTTCGAAATCTCTTCTAGTTCAGGTAATAAAAGATACAGTTGAGCAATACAGGCCCTATTGGCCTCTTGTACTTTTGATTTTGATATTTTCTATGGAATTTCATACTGTTAATCATAAGTTCCTTGCATAAAATTTTCTCTCTGTGCAAGAAGACTATGTAGGGTTTGAAATTAGAGAACCAGTAGCTGACGGAGGCCTCGATACTTTCAAAGTGATGTAAACAGGTTAGGCAGAGTACAGTTTGATATTGTATACGTTTAATAACATTTACTGTATCATTGTATTGTTCTTTAAATGCTTTTAGTAAGATATATATATATTTGGTCCTTAGAAAGAAGTGAAGGCTCAAAGCAAGAGAGAACAGATAGATAATTTGAGGAGGCAACCAGCGGTCCAACCGAAGTTCGACAAATACGCTAGCTCGGACAGCCATCAACAGCACCGGAAACAACTAGAGTCTGAACTTCGTGACCAGTACCAGTCCTTCCTGTCACAGGTATTACTACATGGTAGTCATAGTAACATGCTACATCAAGTCACATGACAAATACTTGTCAAACACACCCTGGTAATTTTATCAGTATCAATAGTATACTTACTGGGACCAATGACAGATAGACAGAAATAAAAAAAAATGTAGATTATTTCACATATAGGATGTTCAAATATGGGGTGTAAAATGACAGCCACATTCCCTTAATATTAAACACATCAAGATTATAATGGAAAGGTGATCATGTGATCTTCTTAGGTGTTATAACTAATTACAGCAGGTTTTATTACTTAGTAACTACAGTAGGCATTATAACTAATAATTACAGTAGGCATTATAACTAATAATTACAGCAGGTATTATTACTCCATAATTACAGTAGGTATTGAACACACACAACTATATTAATCTACCATAAACTCTCACGTACAAAAATTCGCTTGCAGTTCACGTGACAAAAAATCTATAATATCTTTCTTATAAACCTGTATTACAATTTCTACTGTCATCACATATTTCAATTTCCTCAATCCTTCTGTCAAAAACTGAATGATGTATGCTGTGTGTTTGTCTTTTGATAATGAAGCTGATTTGTGAAGAAGTCACTATAATTTTAGTTTTTCAGTGTTTTATTGTTTTAAATGTCATAAAGTTCATAGAACTAATCAGTGACATTCCAGTATTTGTACTTAATTTTAAAATTCTTAAAATAAGTAAATTTCTTTTTTCCTGTGACATATTATTTTTGACCTTTTCAGATAATTGCATGCCTTGTATTTATTTTTTGTCTCTATTGCTTTATGTGACTGTGATGTCTGTTACTTTGTGTACAGTAGACAGAATACTGTGACTGTGATGTCTGTTACTTTGTGTACAGTAGACAGAATACTGTGACTGTGATGTCACTGTGTGTACATACAGTAGACAGAATACTGTGACTGTGATGTCTGTTACTTTGTGTACAGTAGACAGAATACTGTGACTGTGATGTCTGTTACTTTGTGTACAGTAGACAGAATACTGTTACTGTGATGTCAGAATTCACAGTAGTTCTCATGTTTTTGGCAAAAGTGAATGAATAAATAAATGAAAATAAAATAAAAACAAAAACTAAAAGATGAAAAAGAAAGGATTTTCGTGGATTTTGTTTTTGATCAAATGTTTCAATTGAATAGATCTAAAGTGAAAGGAAAACATCAGGCCAAAAGCATTGTGGTAAAATCCTTTACATTGAGTCATTGATGTTTTTTTAAGTAAATGTTTATATTGTGTCGTTGTAATGTGTATACGTATTTTTGTTGTTATTTTATTTTAGTTTACAAAGTCAGGGAAACTTCATTTTTCACGTTTTTTTAAAATAATATAATCAAAAAAAATCCGTACATTTTTTCCAACTCTTACTTGTGGGAATCTGTTAACTACCAAGAATAAAACAAAGTTTTAAATAATCTGGATTTTTTTCATTCCAGTTTTATAACTTAAAAACAAAAGGGTTACAAAAACAGCAACCTAATAAGGTTTCACTGTATAAATATATTTTGAAATGGTTAAGCACAATTTTCAGTACAGTCTATGTTTTTGATGTGTGTGTGTGGTAGAATGGAGAGCCGGTATATACGAGTAGGAATCCGAACTCAGAGTTAACCCTAAGTAGGCTCTCGGGCGGGCTGTCGGGTGGCATATTTGGTGATGTACAACATGAACAGGATCGCCGACGAGTGATGGTCCAACAGCGAAACAAAGAATATAATCAATTGAAGACAAAGGTACATTTGCCCCTGTCCTTGGAGTGTGGCCCCACCCCCAGGAGTTTATCTGGAGTGACTGACTGCTTTGGCTATAAACAACATATATCCATTCATGCTGTGATTTATATAATATCATGTGATCTTTTACAATCATCATAAACTTCAAAATAAAGTATGAACATTTCAATTCATTTTTAATCTCAATTGCAAGGATGGCTTATTTGTAATTTTTATAGAAAACATTTTTGATTTTTTTAATGAGTTCACAAATATTTTGATAATGTAAAATAAGTTTCTTTGATTAAAGGAAAAAAAAATTAACAAAATTCTAAATTCTTAAGAAAAATAGACTTTTTTTCTCTAAAAGTAACTGATCTTATTTTGTTACAAAATATCCGGCTAATGAACTAATAAGTGTTGATCTGTATAAAATAAGTAAGAACGTTGAGCAATATCATATCGCTACTATGAAAATGATTTGTCCATTTTTGTCATAAGGTTTCATGACATCACCTCCATAGCTGCTTATCTGTTGCTAGCTTACATCAAATGTGTGTCAGGATTGCAGTTTGGTTGGATTTCCTTAAACAATGAATGTCTGAATACAAGGGAAAAAAACTCTTTAAAAAAGATATTTTCTCTAATTGCTACGTTAGAAAACAATTTCAAATCTGTTAGTGAATTAGTCAATTTAAAGTCAGGCTGACAAAAGTGAAATAAGTGCTGTAATTTGTAACATTTCAACTGAGATAAGAAGGATAACTCCTGCTGAGATGTTACAGGTGAATTTGAATTTTGAGATATTTTTTTAAACTATGATAATGGGACCGACAGTGTGTCAATCAAATATTTTAAAGCATAGAAAAAAATATTACTTACTCCAAACAAAGGCAGAAAATTGCATAAAATATTTTGCATATTCAGTATTGTTTTTGTATATGCTAACTACCCAAATATCAATCCAAAATTACAACAAATAGAAACTATTGTGGTCAGGCAGTATTATTTTTGTGTATGTAGAAATATTGTTTGTGACACACTTTCAGTGCCATATTGAATTACAATGAATTTTATATTAATTATGAGACGATATTTTCTGTAACTCCTTACAAAGTTGTTAAATTGTTTTTGAAATTTGATAAAAGAATTAAGATACAAAGCCAGAATTACACGGTTTATTCTCGTACTAGCTGATGTATTTTGTGTGAAAGGTCTGTTTGCTACAGAAATACAATACCTAACATATCGATTTGTGTTATTGCATGTGCCGTTAATCAGTACATACTAACAGACAGCGTTTGTGTGTTTTAATGTTTACAAACAATTGTAGTATAACAAGTACATTTTAACATTTTTACTAATAAATCTTAGAGTAGAACATGGTATTAGTCAAATTTGTAACGATTTTGAGGAATAGCGATTTTTCAAGCTTAAATATAGTAGGAAAATATTTTGTCATTTCATATCATTTGTGGTACCAGATATCATTCTAGAAGTTTTCATTCCAAGGTTGTTTTTATGGCTAGATCTCGTTATCATGTATCAATTTGGATGAATAACTTCGGAAGAGATAATGGATAACGCAATATTTGAAGTTATCAAAATTTGAATTGTTTTATGGCCATAATAAAAAAAAAATGCATCACAGTTTATATTGAAATCTGAAAAAATATTCATTAAAGAATAGTAACAAGTTTTCATTGCAGTAAATGTGTTAGCACTAGTCTGTTTAAAACTTGGTATCAAACAGGCCCAGTGGTGTAATTGAAGACCCATGTATTTACGATTTCTTGAGGGTACGCTGCAATTAATTTTACTTCATTTTGATATTGACAAGATAAAGTTGATGTACATGCCAAGGGAATCAAGCCCATTTTGTTAAAAATTTGGATTGATTTTAGTAAAAAATATTTTACATCTGTTATCAGAATTCTACCTTTTTCCAGTTCTTCTGCTGTTTGGTTGACGTCGGTCATCTTATATCAGGATAATCATTATGCAAATACTGTATTCAAGTCAAACCTTATATTACTTTGCAGTGGTCAGACAAAAAAATACTTGCCCACGGACAAAATTTAGTGGCCTCGAGCCGTCAGACATGAGATTTTCCTTAACCTATAAAATACACAAGTCAAATACACTTTGTATAGTTACTGATCTATTACAAATATACACAAGAAGTGTAAAAGGATTACAATATCAACTGTGATGCAAAGTAATTTATCATAAAAATAATTATAATGTGTGTGATACGATTACATCATCCTCGATACTCAGGGGTTCACGCTCTCTGTACCCCAGGAATATATCATAGCAAATTTGAAGACATGCGGTTAGCTATTTGATTGGTCTCAGGTAAAAATAACCATGACAAATCGCTAGGTTTATAAATGTCCTTTGAAGACAAATCGCTAGGTTGATGACTGTCCTTTGAAAATGAAGGTCGACACCCGACTTCAAAGTCAGTCAATTTTAACGTTTTGCAAACGAGGGATTCTTTATATGTACATCACAGAATCAAGCCTACTTGCCTCACCTACAAGGTGGCGGACACTGAACCTTCGATTTTGCCATGACATATTCCAGGGGTGCAGAGAGCGAAAGTGAGCGTAACTCCTGGAGTGTTGAGAATGTAATCACATAGAATAAATTGATTTTATGTATATAGTCATGAACTACAGTGAAATTTGTAATCACTGTATTTTTGTGCAAATCATTGTTCACATATTGTTTTCATACCATATCACTTTTCATCTTAAAACTTGTAAAAGTTCTACATCATTTTCCTTAGTTAAGGGTTTTAGTTAATGAAGATTCAATTAAGATTTGAACAATGGTTTGTCTTATCTCAATGTATTCTGTGTTTGTGTAGTTTGTAATGTGTACCGACTGGCCACTCATGTAGTCATTATAAAAGACGGGTGCTTTTCCAGTAGATTGACGATGACGGCATGGATAGTAGTTTAATTATATCGTAGTTATTCATAGTTTATAGTTCTAGGAGTGTAGTGTGTCTTTTACTGGTATAGGCTGTAAATTATATCTAGAAAACATACCTATTTATTTACCAAAGTGGAAATCTGTTTTTGTTCCTTAGAACGTAGTATTTAATTTTAACATAATCTTTGACATCTAAATTTATCAGGATCTGATTCTAATTTTCCTTAAAATGACAACGTAAAGAGGCAGCATTCATTAGAATGTTAGATGTATAACTATATAGTTGCTTGCTTATAAACATCTTGTCTGTAAGCGGTCGGTAAGGTTGTTGAATGTTGGCAGAATGTTACAATGAAGTTAATTCAGTTTATCAAGCAGTGTTCAGTAGTAGGAGTACTTTAGTTGAAGTTAATACGTTAATCAAGCAGTGTTCAGTAGTAGGAGTACTTCAGTTAATCAAGCAGTGTTCGGTAGTAGGAGTACTTCAGTTGAAGTTAATTCAGTTTATCAAGCAGTGTTCAGTAGTAGGAGTACTTCAGTTGAAGTTAATACAGGTAATCAAGCAGTGTTCAGTAGTAGGAGTACTTCAGTTGAGGTTAATTCAGTTAATCAAGCAGTGTTCAGTAGTAGGAGTACTTTAGTTGAAGTTAATACAGTTAATCAAGCAGTGTTCAGTAGTAGGAGTACTTCAGTTAATCAAGCAGTGTTTAGTAGTAGGAGTACTTCATTTGAAGTTAATTCAGTCAATCAAGCAGTGTTCGGTAGTAGGAGTACTTCAGTTGAAGTTAATACAGTTTATCAAGCAGTGTTCAGTAGTAGGAGTACTTTAGTTGAAGTTAATACAGTTAATCAAGCAGTGTTCAGTAGTAGGAGTACTTCAGTTAATCAAGCAGTGTTTAGTAGTAGGAGTACTTCATTTGAAGTTAATTCAGTCAATCAAGCAGTGTTCGGTAGTAGGAGTACTTCAGTTGAAGTTAATACAGTTTATCAAGCAGTGTTCAGTAGTAGGAGTACTTTAGTTGAAGTTAATACAGTTAATCAAGCAGTGTTCAGTAGTAGGAGTACTTCAGTTGATCAAGCAGTGTTTAGTAGTAGGAGTACTTCATTTGAAGTTAATTCAGTCAATCAAGCAGTGTTCGGTAGTAGGAGTACTTCAGTTGAAGTTAATACAGTTTATCAAGCAGTGTTCAGTAGTAGGAGTACTTTAGTTGAAGTTAATACAGTTAATCAAGCAGTGTTCAGTAGTAGGAGTACTTCAGTTGAAGTTAATTCAGTTAATCAAGCAGTGTTCAGTAGTAGGAGTACTTCAGTTGAAGTTAATACAGTTAATCAAGCAGTGTTCAGTAGTAGGAGTACTTCAGTTGAAGTTAATTCAGTTAATCAAGCAGTGTTCAGTAGTAGGAGTACTTCAGTTGAAGTTAATTCAGTTAATCAAGCAGTGTTCAGTAGTAGGAGTACTTCAGTTGAAGTTAATTCAGTTAATCAAGCAGTGTTCAGTAGTAGGAGTACTTCAGTTGAAGTTAATTCAGTTAATCAAGCAGTGTTCAGTAGTAGGAGTACTTCAGTTGAAGTTAATTCAGTTAATCAAGCAGTGTTCAGTAGTAGGAGTACTTCAGTTGAAGTTAATTCAGTTAATCAAGCAGTGTTCAGTAGTAGGAGTACTTCAGTTGAAGTTAATTCAGTTAATCAAGCAGTGTTCAGTAGTAGGAGTACTTCAGTTGAAGTTAATTCAGTTAATCAAGCAGTGTTCAGTAGTAGGAGTACTTCAGTTGAAGTTAATTCAGTTAATCAAGCAGTGTTCAGTAGTAGGAGTACTTCAGTTGAAGTTAATTCAGTTAATCAAGCAGTGTTCAGTAGTAGGAGTACTTCAGTTGAAGTTAATTCAGTTAATCAAGCAGTGTTCAGTAGTAGGAGTACTTCAGTTGAAGTTAATTCAGTTAATCAAGCAGTGTTCAGTAGTAGGAGTACTTCAGTTGAAGTTAATTCAGTTAATCAAGCAGTGTTCAGTAGTAGGAGTACTTCAGTTGAAGTTAATTCAGTTAATCAAGCAGTGTTCAGTAGTAGGAGTACTTCAGTTGAAGTTAATTCAGTTAATCAAGCAGTGTTCAGTAGTAGGAGTACTTCAGTTGAAGTTAATTCAGTTAATCAAGCAGTGTTCAGTAGTAGGAGTACTTCAGTTGAAGTTAATTCAGTTAATCAAGCAGTGTTCAGTAGTAGGAGTACTTCAGTTGAAGTTAATTCAGTTAATCAAGCAGTGTTCAGTAGTAGGAGTACTTCAGTTGAAGTTAATTCAGTTAATCAAGCAGTGTTCAGTAGTAGGAGTACTTCAGTTGAAGTTAATTCAGTTAATCAAGCAGTGTTCAGTAGTAGGAGTACTTCAGTTGAAGTTAATTCAGTTAATCAAGCAGTGTTCAGTAGTAGGAGTACTTCAGTTGAAGTTAATTCAGTTAATCAAGCAGTGTTCAGTAGTAGGAGTACTTCAGTTGAAGTTAATTCAGTTAATCAAGCAGTGTTCAGTAGTAGGAGTACTTCAGTTGAAGTTAATTCAGTTAATCAAGCAGTGTTCAGTAGTAGGAGTACTTCAGTTGAAGTTAATTCAGTTAATCAAGCAGTGTTCAGTAGTAGGAGTACTTCAGTTGAAGTTAATTCAGTTAATCAAGCAGTGTTCAGTAGTAGGAGTACTTCAGTTGAAGTTAATTCAGTTAATCAAGCAGTGTTCAGTAGTAGGAGTACTTCAGTTGAAGTTAATTCAGTTAATCAAGCAGTGTTCAGTAGTAGGAGTACTTCAGTTGAAGTTAATTCAGTTAATCAAGCAGTGTTCAGTAGTAGGAGTACTTCAGTTGAAGTTAATTCAGTTAATCAAGCAGTGTTCAGTAGTAGGAGTACTTCAGTTGAAGTTAATTCAGTTAATCAAGCAGTGTTCAGTAGTAGGAGTACTTCAGTTGAAGTTAATTCAGTTAATCAAGCAGTGTTCAGTAGTAGGAGTACTTCAGTTGAAGTTAATTCAGTTAATCAAGCAGTGTTCAGTAGTAGGAGTACTTCAGTTGAAGTTAATTCAGTTAATCAAGCAGTGTTCAGTAGTAGGAGTACTTCAGTTGAAGTTAATTCAGTTAATCAAGCAGTGTTCAGTAGTAGGAGTACTTCAGTTGAAGTTAATTCAGTTAATCAAGCAGTGTTCAGTAGTAGGAGTACTTCAGTTGAAGTTAATTCAGTTAATCAAGCAGTGTTCAGTAGTAGGAGTACTTCAGTTGAAGTTAATTCAGTTAATCAAGCAGTGTTCAGTAGTAGGAGTACTTCAGTTGAAGTTAATTCAGTTAATCAAGCAGTGTTCAGTAGTAGGAGTACTTCAGTTGAAGTTAATTCAGTTAATCAAGCAGTGTTCAGTAGTAGGAGTACTTCAGTTGAAGTTAATTCAGTTAATCAAGCAGTGTTCAGTAGTAGGAGTACTTCAGTTGAAGTTAATTCAGTTAATCAAGCAGTGTTCAGTAGTAGGAGTACTTCAGTTGAAGTTAATTCAGTTAATCAAGCAGTGTTCAGTAGTAGGAGTACTTCAGTTGAAGTTAATTCAGTTAATCAAGCAGTGTTCAGTAGTAGGAGTACTTCAGTTGAAGTTAATTCAGTTAATCAAGCAGTGTTCAGTAGTAGGAGTACTTCAGTTGAAGTTAATTCAGTTAATCAAGCAGTGTTCAGTAGTAGGAGTACTTCAGTTGAAGTTAATTCAGTTAATCAAGCAGTGTTCAGTAGTAGGAGTAGTTCAGTTGAAGTTAATTCAGTTAATCAAGCTGTGTTCAGTAGTAGGAGTAATTCAGTTAATCAAGCAGTGATCAGTAGTAGGAGTACTTTTGTTGAAGTTAATTCAGTTAATCAAGCAGTGTTCAGTAGTAGGAGTAATTCAGTTAATCAAGCAGTGTTCAGTAGTAGGAGTACTTCGGTTGAAGTTAATTCAGTTAATCAAGCAGAGTTCAGTAGTAGGAGAACTTCAGTTGAAGTTAATTCAGTCAATCAAGCTGTGCTCAGTAGTAGGAGTACTTCAGTTGAAGTTAATTCAGTTAATCAAGCAGTGTTCAGTAGTAGGAGTACTTCAGTTGAAGTTAATGCAGTTAATCAACCTGTTTCCATTTATAGACCTTAGCACCTTCCGTCAGTGAATTATATTTCCTCGCTGCTTGTATTAAATAGAGTAATTCACGGGAACCTACGGAAGAGTTCAACAGAAAAGTCCCAGAACTCGGTTTACCCCTCGATAATGAGATGTCAAATGAATTGCGTCGACGGCAAGAAATAGTTCGCAATCTGGAATGTAGGAAATATTTAGAAGAAAAGGTATGGGTAAGCTTGTAGACGAAAATTAGATCAGAATTATTATTGTCTACTATACTTAAATAAAAAACATGAATACCTGACGTATTGATAGAATTAGATTGAAAAAAGTAACCATTTAACATTTCATAATATGGTATTTTCCTGAATATCATATAATCAAATCATTTACGTAGAAATAATAGCTAATTATGAGGATTGCTACGAATTCGTTAAATACTACTACAAAGTGACGGTAAACTATTTGACACAGACGTTTAATTTACATTTAAACAGAAAACTTGGCAAAAAGCATTGTCTTCAATTTCAAGTTAAGATACTTAAGGAATTTAGTGGATGAAGATTTGGTTGTCCTATTTGAACAATGGTTTGTCTTATCTCATGTATTCTATGCTTGTCTATTATGAACTGGTAATTTATTAAGTAATGATGAAACAAGTGTATTCCCCAGTAGATTGACGATGACTGCATGCATAGTAGTTTAAATGATATCGTAGCTGTAATACAATACACAGTTCTAGGATTGATGTGGACTGCTACTGATGTAGACTGTCAATTGTGTTTAAGAAACATATATATTTATTAGTAAAAGGGCCCAATAGAAGTTGGTTTTTTGGTCTAATGGTCCTAAGAATATAGAAAATATTTTATTTGATATTACCAACGTTTCAATTTATAAGGGCCTGATTTACCTTCCTCTTAGAATTACAAACCGCAGAGACTGCAATTCTTAGAATGTTGAATCTAAAGCAATACATTTTCATATTTTATTTTCAATTCTCTCAGTTTTGTGAGATTTGTTGAATGTGGACAGAATGTTACAGAGATATTGAATACGGTAATCAAAGAGGCGAACTGTTTAACTCTCTCGTTGATAGATTATCAACCGTGTTGTTCTATTGGGAATATGTACGTGATATTTAGTTAAGTAATATCAAAGCTTGTACACTAAAACCGACAATAAGTTTAGGGCAATACTGTACTCATTTGTTACATAAAATAAAATGCATAAAGTTTCAGATGGAATAAAGGTTGAATTCAAGTTGATATAAATCTGCAATAGAATGGCTTTTTTTTCAAATGTTGATTTGAATTCGGTTGTAAAATGCGAAACTATATCAATCTTTAAACAGATGTTGTTTAATTAAAACAAGGGTTACAAATGTCAGATACCGCATTTTATGTACAAATATGGAACGGCATGATTTTGGTATTTATGCATGTTTTAGTTTGACTTGTGAAAAAGTTGTCTTGAGGTGAAAGAGACTTGTGGTACCTTTATATTTTTGACTAGTGATATGTTCCCTTGAAGTGAAATGGACTTTATAGTTTTGGTTTCTAAGATATTCCCATGAAAAATTATACTTGGGGTACCTGTATTTTTTGGTTTGTGAGGTGTTACATGAAGTGAGATGCTATGCTGTCTTACACGACAAGTTATCAGAGTACCTTCCGTCAGTGAATTAAGTCTCCTTCCTGCTTATATTGAATAGAGTTATTCACGGGAGCCTCAGCATGAGTACAGCAGAAAAGGTCCAGAACTCGGTTTACCTCTTGATAATAAGAAGTCAAATGAATTGCGACGACGACAAGAAAAAGATCGAAATCAAGAATATAGGAGTTTTTTAGAAGAAAAGGTATGAACGATGAATGAGTTCTAGAGGAAAGTCGGATCATGATTGCATACCAGTGACTTATATTGATAACTCATTTATTTGATGAATTACTGATAGTGTTAGATTGAGACATTGAAATTTGACGTCACAACTTTTGAAATAGTACCATTTTTTGCCGATTATTGATAACTGTTCTTTGTGTGGATCAAACCAGAGCACTGATGAAACGTAACTATTGATTATAACATGGTATCAGCCATGTAGTGATAATGGCAGATATATGGAGAGGACACGGTTAAAACATGCTATGGATTTATTAAATGTGACTTAGTTAACGAACATATATCAAACAGACGTCCCTATACTATTGTGGTCATACACGTTGTAGTGATACGTTTCTCTATAATTAGCCATCTCATGAATTATTTTAGAAACGTTCACCAAGGAGATACCATCCGCCAACCCCCGAGGATAAACAAGGCCTTCCTTTAACACAAAGGCCTTACGATGAGATGAAGGCTATAAACGAAAAGCAGAGAAACATGGAATATAACCAGTATCTAGCAAAGGTATTGCATCGCTCTCTGCCTGCCTATATCCCTATCTAATAGTTTGGAGTTCTTCTTGAACTTTGTGATCATTCTGGATCCTAATATTGTTTCTATAACAGGAGTTGAACGCTAAACATCACAGCACTTTTTATGTATTTTGAAATAGTTGTCACACTTTTCGCACTTTTGACGTTCTACTTATATTTTTCCCGAACCATAACCAGTGTTTTATTTAATTCTATTGTTTTGATTGTGGACTTCCATATATATTCTGTTGTAGTGATTTCGTTTACTCTCACTCTCTAATATGTGAATTACTTTTGAAGTGAATCTCCTGAAAGTGAAAATGAATTTTTTCTTTATGACTTATGATCAACTGTTAAAAAGGCAAAACTGTTTTTCTGTTTTTCGTCGAAAGCAAAAGTAAATTATTAAGGGATTTCTGTTTGGCGTATCCAATCGATTGTTTACAGAGGTTTAAGACTATTTAAGGATCTTTTGATTGGCGGTTGCAGTGGCATGGTCTGTTCTCATCCGTTTGTGATAGTGTGGCTCTATTTACCTATATATATTCTGTGGTGATGGCCTTTCTTTCGCTTGACTTTCAGTTTGTCTTCTGCATTCTCTAAAGAGTTGGCTTCTGATAGCAAGTTCTTGCCTAAGCCATTGCCTCTGTTTGTCTTCCTCTGAAGTGGATAACATTGTGATTCCTTTGAGTTTTATGGTTTTCTTGAGGTGTGTCACTCACCGAATGACTTCAGATTCTTTCGGAGATAGTTTTTCTTTTTCTACAAAAATGCAATTTCAATTTCTTCTTCCATGATGCATTGTGTTTATCTGAAACAATGAATAACAAATATCTTTTCCCCTTTGCTTATGTTTTTGATCTTATATAGAGTTTCTTCTACTCTGAAATATACCATGTGAATTGTTAATGAAACTTTCTTTTGACAAAATGCAATATTAAAAGTTATAATATGAAAGCTGACGGAGCAATGTAAATAAAATAGTTGTTTTGTATTGGAGTTTTATTATGTACTGATTATAGTGATAGTATATTATGTACATATAGACTGGGCTCCCGTTTGATAAGATGAGTTTGCAAGGCAGTGTTCAGGGATCGGCGTTAGCCAGACAAGTTAACGGCCACCATTCTGAAACGGAACAACCCACTCCTCAGAAAAGATATCCAAGCAAGAAACACGATCGTGAGGTCACGCACAGAGTTGAGGAAGAGACGAAGGTAAAATGGCTACCACATGCGGTGGTGCCTACAAGCTTGCTATCGTGACATGGCATGTCGCCTGCTATGCCTGCTTCCTTAGACTTGTATTCAAGCAGGATTCGTAGTGATATTGTGTAGACTTGTTAATGAGTAGAATGATTACTAAAGCTAGGCTTATAATCATTTCTTTTCAGAATCATACCAGATATTGGAATATGTTGAACGAGGTAACGTGAGAATTAAACTTAAACTATTCCACTTTTTGAACGGGTTTCCGGTACCATCCTATATACAATTTCTTCTTTCCTATGATTTATTTCACCGATATCTTTTAAAAGAGCTTTCCTCCCAAACTTTCAATTAACCTATCACAGAATTGATATAGCAAGAAATATTATTTTCACTTTCTACTTTCCACTCACTATGCAATTTCCTCTTTAAAATAATATTACTGTGGTCTTACTCTTACTAATGAGAACACAGTTATCACAAATATATATCAGCTTTGTTATAAATAAAGTGTTTGTCAATAAATGGTTTAATTGTTTGATTGTGAAGTCAAATGAAAATCATCCCTTTTACCGAGAACCGAGATATACATTTTGTACATAATACGGAAGTGTCTTCCATATTCATTTTGTGCATTATGCCTCTTATAAAATACAGGCTTACAATATTAAAAAGCAATGATGTCATTGAAAGATAGCTATTAGAGCTTTTATGTCTCAGGTTTCATCATAAACAACTTGACGATTATTTTTTTCTTCAAAATGTAGAGTTCTTGTTTTTATGTGACCTAACATTCATTATTTATATTAATCATCAGAATGGATATTTCAACTTAAGATACCTTGTTTTACAAAATGTTTAATAAATATTTTACTTTAAAATGAAAATATTTATTACGAATGTATTTAACAAATCTGTGAATGGTAAACATTGCTTCAAAGAAATTGCTTGGTAGCAAAAATCTTGCTTCAAAGAACACCACTTTCCGGAGAGAAAGGTTGGTCTTGTTTTTTGTATATATATATATTATATACCTGTGTTGCTTGCCTTGTAATAACAGTGAGTTATTGAACAAAATAACGTCACCAATGTAAAAGGATATATGTGTATAAGTGTATAGATATACCACATCAAAAGAGTATATATATGTATGAGATCTGTACACACGTAGAAAAAATGTGCTTCGTAAAAAGAACATTGCATGTGTGTGTCAGAATGCCAAGAGAATAATCGTGCGGAAAATTTGAATATCTTTTAGATCTTATCTAAGCTTAGATCTTCCGGTTTCTTTAGTAGCACTTTTTTTGCGTCGATTCGTTTGGAAGATTGTTGCATTTCAGTCTACTAGTTGGTTTGCGATAGTTATTTATATAATGAATAATAACAGAGATAGTTGGTTTAAATGAGGACGATTCATATAAAAGATGCTTATATATATACAAATATATGCATGCGCCATTTGAGTAATATCATTATAATCATTTAGTTACACAACACCATACAATAATATTGTGTGCTTTTCAATTTCCAAACAGTATATATTAGCTACCCTAACATAAAGGGCCGGTGAATGAATTAGTGCATGTGTCTTCTGATGTGCTTATCTATAGCAGTATTACAAGTTGTGATAGTTGGCATGGTTTGTGGTTGTTTTGCAAATCAGTATACTTACACTGTAGATATTGTTTAGTTTTGGAGTGGAACTAATTCCGGTATCGCGGCGATTTCCAATCTCGATTGTACAGATTCCTCTTATGCCACCCATCGTGCTCCCACCAGAAATGACCTATTAGGACTCTCATCACGTGTAGATGGACAGGTGCGTCTCTATCTGAGTGGTCAGTGCTGTAATGTATCGTCTGTTATTTGTTGTGTGTGAACGATACTGAGACAGTCGTTTAGTCATTTACTATTTCCAAATCTAAGCTGCCACCAAAACCTATCGTCAGACATATTCCAAGCGGAAAATCAGATGTGGATGTCAACTTCGAAAATCAGAAAGCGTTTCCTATGGGAAACGACTATGCTGTGAAACAGAAGAAACTGAAAGAAGAGTGGAGGAAGAGCTATGAGGCCCAAAAGGACAAGGTTGGTCAAACCATGGTGTGTATTTGTTTGTTTCATATTCTACTTCATAAGTTGGTGAGAACACTACTCAGCATCACTTCATGTAACCATGAGTTTGTGGTGTTTGTGGATATACAATGAACTTCTGATACTGGTGATATTACTGTAACAGTATTTTCAATCATCTTCTATACAATATTATTAAATATACCGGTAAGTGATTGGTATTCTTAATGGATAACATATTAAACGATTTATGATCGAAACATTTATATTTTTAACATAACAACACAGGTTGATGACTAACTTTATGATAAACCAAACTGCTTGATTTAACAAAATTACCTCTTTGCTGATTTATTTAGATTATATTATATAAAGAAATACCAGTAATGTATAAATATGCATATTATATTTCGTTTCTGAAATAACGTTAATGACAAAAGCCTTTTTTAAGATGTGTTTACGCTTTCCCCAGTTCCAAAAGAAATCATATACACCGCAAGTGAAAATACAGGTAGACGTCTCTGATGGGACGCATTCTATATTGTTTGTGTAAACTAGACTGCTTGTTTATGTGGTACACGGGATGTGCATATTTAATATATGCATGGTTGGCATAGATCACCCTAATTGTTTTTTGAAACCTGTGGTAAATTTAACTCTAGACTATGTTTCATCGATTGTGTGTATACACATACCGACAACTAACGAACCAGTCATCGCTTGTGCTAGTTGGATATGGGAATGGCTTTGGTATGATGTGGAAGAGGAACGAGTGTTAAAGTGTGGTCAATCTTGAAATAAAATTAAGCTTATTTGACCATATCTGAAAGAAAAGTATCCGACTGATAAATTCATTGAATTTGCACAAAACATACACTATTTCTATAAAACATGTTTTCAAAGCTATAGCAGTTTTTGTATCAGTTAAGTTGCCGTAGCCTCTTGAAGACACACAGTAAACACTTATAATACAAACTCTATGCAAATCACACTTTGTTTCCACATAATTGATACACTGATGGGGTATCTGTTCGAAGTGCTTTTATTGTCATTAAGAGAAAACCATTTGGTTGAAATAGATATCGAGAGACGAAGATGCAAGAAGCAGAAGAGAAGAAACTTTCCGAGAATCCTGGGAGCGTAGTATGGAATCCCCTCCTATCGTACCTGCGGGTACTTATGATCTTAAAAGAGAGAAGATCAGACAAGGTCTGCAGGCCGACTACCAAGTATATCTGGCATCGGTACATATATTTATTTTAGATGGTCTGCTGTACAGACAAATACATTATCTTGTTGGTAGCTTTATTGTGCATGCTACATTTCTAATAAGAGTTCTCATTACTTGTTGCTCTCGAGTTAGTGAACACTAATACAACATCAAACGAAGGTAAACACTCATACGGATATGGTGGTTATTATTATGTTTTGGTGGAATTGTTTTATCAAAACGTATACTCAGTCGATTACATAACAACGATATTGTCAACTGGAAAAAGTCAGCATTCGGTTTTAAAGAAAATTTGTGATTCTAAGATATCTTTCAAATGATGTATAAGAGAGTTGGCCAAACTACTCTTTAACTTTTGCTCTTGTTTCACATGGCATTTTCTTGGTATTAGAGTATTAATTATCTTTTGTATTTAATATAAGTATTTATAAAAAATACATGGGTGATGGTTGTTTTTAATGCATAATACATAATACCTATATGACTTACCTGCTGTATGAACGACAACACAACTTAGTTTTATGGATATTGGATGTGTGCGAACTTTTTGCACCAAGGCTGCACACTTTGTAATAACACATTTGAGTGTTCTTTATAATAAACTGAGAACGTGTCTACTGTTTAACAACAATGCTGGTTTGATTTCCATGGTGAATGAAATTCTTCCTTTGGTAGACATTTTGACCTACTTGGAATTAACTCGATTGTTTTGTTGAACTTGATGGTTTGTGGACCTATTTATACAATAAATTGATGTCCATTTCGTTTTACATATGTCGTAATTTATCATGTTTATGATGTTGATATATATCCGGTATGTTCACTATCTCTCTAAATTTTCATTTTTCCCAATACATATTTTATTTCTTATTTTAAATATTTTGAAGAAAAGTTTAAAAGAAATTTTGACTATGTAGAATAGGAAAGATGTCCATATGGGTTTTCCGTCATTTTATACAAAACTTGACGGAGTCATGAAGCAAGCAGATACAATGTGTCGTGTCATTTACTCTCTTTCCAAGTTATACTCTCTGTATCAGTGTTGACACTACTGTCTGTTAAGGCTGTTCTATATGTAACCCTCTATTTGATGCTGTCGGTCTTTACTGGTTGTTTTGGTATGATCTGTTGTTAGCAACAGCCTGCAAACAGAAGCAAAGAGTTCTGGAGTTCCAATGATAACCCTAAGATTTACCCCACTTCCGGTGAATACAGGAGGCGAGGAGAGAAAATGAAAGAAGAACTTCGGGAGGAATTTCACGTCTTCATGGATAAGGTAGTAGCATGCTTGAGGTGATATATATCTACAACGCGAAACAATATAATAGCTTTAATACCAACAAGTAACCAGTTAATCAACATTGCTGGCTTAAGTTACAGAAAGATATGCTTATATTACCGCTATAAACTCGGTCACCAAGGATCTTATTGAACTAGAATGTTATAAATATCATTGTTTAATAATTATATTGGTGATTTCCTTTTTTTTTTACATAATCCTCGAGTAAAGTTCTCGATTTACTTCCGGTTACAAATAAATATTTCTCGATATTCAGCAAGAACAGCCGAAAGAAAGGAAGAAGGTATTTGGTGAGCAAGGTAGTGTGCTGTTTGTCTCGCAATACCCGGACACAAAAAAGCACATGAATGCGGAGAGAAAAAGAGACATGCTAGAACACCTAGAGGTATCGAGTTGTCTCCCATGATTAATAATAATGTGTGACGGAGTGGTATCCCTTGAAAAAAATCATATTGCGTATTTGTGTGATTTTTGGTTTACAAAAATGTGTTTTAGAACATCATTTCTGGTGTTTGTTTTATTTTGTTATTGCGGATTTTGAATTTTAGTTACGATTTAGAAATACGATTTCTTTGAAGCAAGGTTTATGGTGTCTGATGGTTTCCGACCATTTTAGACTATTTTTATATTGTTATATTGATAAATGTTGATGTTTTCAATTTATTAATAAAAATGTACCAAATCGTTGTGTGAACTAACAGGTGTTTATTGTTCATAATTCAGTACGTTTTTCATTTGAGTGTAATTAACTTATCTTAACTAGTTGTGATGGTATTATTAATATATTTTAATTATTAAAATTTAGAAGCATTCTGTTATAACAACTTACTCATCATTTTATGTCTGATAATACATGCATGTGTAGTGCATGGCTCAACCTTAACCTATGCATATACATCTTAATATATAGCTGGAAAAATGTAACCAACATCTAACACAATGAACTCTCGATTTGGAGAAAATACACTCTGGGAAATAGAAGGCTATTTATAGGAACTAGAATGCCACTCATGTTTAAAGAGTTGATGCTATTGATCATGTTTGGATATTTTCATCAGTTGTAGAAGAAGATTGTTTTTATATTATCTAGATAGTTTTTATTTTATTTTGTAATTATTGTTTAATGTTTTATATATGGACATGTATATTGTGAATACATATATTGTAATCGTGTTAAATTCTCGGCTGTGCAATACATCACCTCGCGTTGGATATTCTCCGTAACCTCTATTGACTTCCTGTATTCTATACTTTCATCTGTTACCTGTTTGTGCTCTATAATTGTATATGCTTGATAAAAGTATATGGAAAGTTGAAATTATGTCATTCTTTTACAGAACTCATTCGGGTACACAAACGGATCTCAATTGACATAATGTTTATGATATGTGGATTTTGCTTTTAAATTCTGAGGAGTGCATTGTAAACCCTTATTCAAATGTCCTTATAAATATGTATCTAAAATGATGACAGCTTTCGTACGTTAATTGACGAAGGCAATGCTCTAACGTATTAATATTTTATAAACTTATTCCTTGAAGGTTTTAAAGCAAAGTGTTGGGTATGAGTGTTGCACTCGTACACAAAATCGAAGCGGAGAAAGTACACTGACGTAGAAATAATAAACTAAACGCTTTTCCTCTATACCATTGCCCTTCCTTACAGAAAAAGAAGGGCGAGGTTCCCAGAAGACAAGGTGACCCTTCTATGGACGAAAAGAACATGTTTTCCGATCTGGGTAAATCACAGGATGCTCATAAAAAGAAAATTCACGAGAACGCTAAACAGGACTACAGGAACTATGTCGACCATGTTAGTATGTTTTTGATGATGTGTCATTATGTTTTTTTATAAGTATTAGAGTATCATTTATTAAGGTTATATTATTATTGATAGAGACGTTGTATCATTACCGTACTCCGTAGACATACTGATTTGGAAAGTACTGTAATACATATTATGTGGAATTTGTTTTTCATTTTTTTCATGTCGTTACGTTATATCCAGTTTTCATTATATCAGTTACTAAAAGAGAATAATTGCCAATATCATATCGTGCTAGAAAGCCTTTAATTTAAATAATGATATTACCATAACTTAATATCCACTTTTAAATAGCAGTTTTTGTGTAGACGAAACATTTGATTTCAGCAATTGGTTGCGTGTGAAATATATCTATTATAACTGCGTGGTGTATTGTTTTTGCTAGACACAATCACTTTCTTACTCTGCTGCTATGGAGTGACACAAGCACATATCTCGTCTTGTTCTATTATTTAAGTAGGATGCTATACAACTTGCATGAACAACACCAGCTTTACACGTAGCGAACTTTCACAATTTGATGAAGTGTTTTGGAGTGAAAACTATCTTACATTCATTCAACCATATGAACAAAGTGATGTTTATAGAGTATGAGTAATACAAATGTTACCGATTTCAATGGAAAATTACAATTCATACAAAATTCACAAATTTCCCATATTAATTATAAACAGCAATTTGTTGATATTGTATTTCGGCCAGAATTGACCTGCGAAAAATATAAAGAATATTTCTCTAATTACGACTTGAACATTTAGATACTGAAATGATTAGATCGAAAATTAGATTTAAAAAAAATTAGTTGCACTCACAATGCACTATGAAGTAAATCTTGTTGAGGGTTGTATGGTACATAGACCAGTATTGTATACGTGTACATCTTATTCCAGGCCTTCCCAGAAGGTCTGAATAGAGGAGAGCCAACATTTGCTGCTAGGAAAGCGCCACCTGTAAGTCGTAGGCTAGACGAAGGGGGAGATTAATCATCTCTGCAATATTCTATAACCTATCTCTAGTCCTTCTAATATGAATTCATATACAAAAAAATCTACTTCTAACATATGCTTGTCTGAAAATATTTCTTTGGAAATATGTGACTCTTTTTATGCGACGGTGAAACGGAAATACCCAAAATGCAAATGAACACACTATCATAAAAAATTTAGAGTGACCAATTAGCGTTAAATTACTTAAAATAACACGGTGTGATTATATATATTGATATTTTATTTGAAGCATCTTATGCATGTGTGCCTATATATTTTGACTTTTTAACGTTTTGCACGAGTGTGTTTTTCTGTTTTTTCTCTTGTCTCAATCTGCACTGCATGCACATGTGTACATCTCTACGTAAACACCTAGCAATCTGTTTGTAAACGCCTAGCAACATGTTTGTGAACGCCTACCTGTTTCTATTACAGGACAGTTGGTACGACGCCCAACCTCCTACACACAGACGCTCACCACCCCGAGACTACAGGTACGCTAGGTATATATATATGTATATGTCGTATTGAGGCAAACGCGTGGTTCACCTTTAGAACGTTAACCGCTTAGCATAACATTACATTTCCATTGAATTCCTTATGTAACATGCGATACTGTAAAGAAAATTATTAACTCTCTGAAACTTTCCAAATTACGTGAACTTATTATCATTTATGTATATTTAAAATTGTCTACTTTTGATATAACACATTGTTTTACTCACTGTTGACTCGCATAATTTTTGGTTTTACTTTTTTTACTTACATTTTTACTGTATCTGGCATCTGATAGGTTGACATTACACACATTGTACGAAATTTTCCTTAACATCCATTGTATACTTTTGCATTTGTTTGCGATATGCATCATACGTTTAATGACTGTTTACAATACATTTTGGTTCTAGAAACATTTCATTCAAAGATGTTTGTTCCAGATGCCATGTAACATTTAAGAAATAGCTTGAAGGTCTACCCTATATTGAAAGAGTATAACATAAATACTCTGCGTGTATTAAAGCAATAATCTTTCGATAATTTGTGTTTCAGACCGGATCAAGAAAACCACCAGAGACACAATCATGATGCTTACGCCGAACGATTAGATCAAGCTCGTGCAAACGAGGCTTTATACAGGTACGTCGAGTCAATACTATAGCGTTATTGTTACTAAGTATTCACAAATATAATAGAAACATACATATTTGTAAAAACTGATAAATCAAGTAAAATCTTCGTTAATTTCTTCGCCATTTAACCGTCGAGTTAATGTCACGAAGTAGTACATTAAGATTGTATATGAGTTAATAAACCTCGTCATATTTTTCATGACGTCATGTTTGTTTCCAGGAAACATGACCACCAGATGAACGATCATGGACACAGACAACCTCCACCAAGCCAAGCCCAGGCTCCATATGCATTGTACTAAAACGGTAACCAGATTTAATGTTACGGTAGCCAAATTGCAAATGGACTTATTTTCCTGTTTCTTGAACTTTTACATTCAACACATATGTTTCTTCCTAATATTACTTTTCATTAAATATCAAGGCAGACAGATATTAACAGATCATTCAATTATTAATGCAATGTTTCATTTTCATGATAAAATGTTTTTCAAGCCCAGCTCATGTTTTTTATGTCGATAATGTCAAAGAGAAAAAGTCAAGCTCGACATGACCGTGATTGCATATCGACGCCACGCTTGCTTTATGTCGTCACTTCTCGTTACGAATTTTATTCCACTCCAAGAAAAAAAAACATGCAGTGGGCGATTTGATAAACAATATATCTAACTCATGAGAATTGGCCATTATTAATATTCGGTTTGTCGAGTTTATTATCAAACACAATCTATTCGCCGAAGCTCGTGCAATAAACTCAATCTATATTGTCGTCATTATTATCAACCATCTTTTGTTTGGTCTTTGTTATTAGAAGGAATTGGTGTCATAGATAAAACAGTGTTTAGTAATTGTAATTTTTGTATGTTTGTACAGGGAGAGGACTTCGATATGCTGATTTGAAGTCAGATGTTCATAGCATTGGTGTAACCTGAATGCGCTGACGACATGGGATCGTGGTGTCATCAGGTTCACATGAAGGAATAATGGTTATAGTGCTGGTGAAGTCATTGGGATGAACATATATTTATACATTTTTCAAATGAATCACTTAATGTATTTCCTTTTAAAGAATAATTTATTCTTTAGTCGCAAAATGTTGTAAGAAATATTCACCAGGTGTATTAAGGAAATATGATATATTGAATAACAAATTGTACAAAAAAATAAGCATATACTCATATATATATAGTTTATACAAGGACACGTGTGTTGTCATGTTTACTTTTATTGTTGATAATCAGATTCAATGTTGTTGACGGCAGATGTATGTTATATTTTGCCACAGTTGAATTGGTAGCAGAAGAAATATCTTTTTAAATACTATATACTTATGCTGTTATATAAATGTCCTCCCTAAACTGCCCATATTACGCATTGTGTTTTCCTTACTGTATACCTAACATAGGAAACTATACTGAAAGTCTTGATAAAGATAAATACATTTCTTTTGTTTTAATAGCTGACTTTGTAGAAGAGATTTTCTTTCTTTGAATGATTGTCCTCGACTGTCATTTCTTATTTCGAATTTTCGAGAAAATGATGCTTTGTTCGGACTTGTTTCAATTAAGATATTGCAAAAAGCTGCAGAACAGATTTTTTTCAAACAAAAGATTACATGAAAAAGTGCTGGAATTGTGGTCCTTTAAAGTTTGCATGTACTAGGGATATTATTTTTATCCTCATAGTCTCTAGATCCTTAATCTGTTATCATTCAAGGAATGTAAAGAATAATGAGTGAATGTAGTTTAGATACATATTTCAAATTATTATTTATTTGTTGAATACTGACTGTGATAAATTATGCTGTGTTCATTTTTTCGAGTTGGGTGAATGTGCCTTTCATTTCTCCGTAGATTAGTCGTACTTTCTTCTACTCTGTTAACCTACAAGAAATCAGTCTAAAATAGTATTAGACCACCGAAGGCTAATAAACACATATTATGATTTACAAAATTATATTATAAGATATACATCTTACAATATATACAATATTGGATTGTGTTATGTATCGTAGAATATTTCCAAAAAGGATTATAGAATATTTACAATATTGTACTGTGGTAAATATCTTACAATATTGTATGATGATATTTATATATACATATATATATAAGTATTGTAATAGAAATCTAGCATATTGCATATGTATCTTGCGTATTATGATATCCATATTATTTATAACGATACAAATATAACGTATTATGGTATACATATTACATTATATTATACATATTACGCATTATGATATCAATTTTAAGTATGGCTACATATAAATTACATATTGTGATAGACATTTAACTTATTATCATATACGTATTAAGTATTTTGTTATACATATTGATTATTGTGATATACGTCTGTGATGTTGGTTTCCGTCCGTTAAGCATTTAGGTTTTACTCTGCATTAATTTGCTATTTTTTAAATAGTTAAATACATTTTTATAAAAAAAATCTGTTACTAGTCTAAGTTTTAATTATAGTTGTATATTAGTAAGCTATTTATTTTATATTGAGGCGATTAGATCTAAATTTCAATACACTTCAGATATTATTTGAATGTGGATAACTTAATTGGACGATGCCATTTCATAGTTTTATTTTTCTAGGCATTTTTTTAAGTATAATCGCAGCTGGAAATTAATAATTTACCAATAACTTTTATTTATGGACTGCATCAAGCAGGTTTAAGATAGCAACAAAGTGCTATTTCATGATGCTATTTCTTTAATCAAGCCATTTTGTAATTTTCTGGTGTTTTTTTCTGTTAAATAGTGACGAATGCTGATGTCCTTTTTGTCAACAGATGTAAATTGATTAAAATAGTCATTTTATAAAACATTGATACAGTTACTATTTGAAATCACGCTAGACATGGTATGTCGAATTTTAGTGCTGGGTGAGGGAATTTGTGGAGAGAATCTACAGAGTTTTGTATATTGTGAATTATAAACCATTTTGTATTATAAAGACTATAATCTCATTCATGTGATACATTTGAACTATTTTCAGAAGCTTGTATTTCTCAAAATAAATTTGCTTTCAAGCTGATGTGTTTTTGTTTTGTTTTTCGAATGCACCTAAACGGTTCACTAAGTATGTTTAAGTAGCACGATAAAAATAATTATTCTTTGTTAACATATTAATTGTAATTTGTTGTTGAAAGATATGTAAATATACTTTATACGATATTCGTTTGGATCACAAATAGAACTTAATCCTGATAACAATAACAAGAGAATACCAACAAAACCACGATTCGATCTAAAAATAGATATAACTAGACCATTGAAAAAGTACAAGGAGAATAAGACCAGTTGTTCCAGAAGGGTAAGTGTCTTCCGCTTCGTCGATTTTATTGCCGAATGTGTTTTCTTACAACTGGTTGCTGACAGCGATCACAGTACTTAGTTTTACAGGGAATACTATCACAAAGTTCTGGCTCCTTCACCTCACGTTTATTTGAGGTACATTTGTATGCTTATTTCTTGAGATATATTATGGCTGTGTCGCAGTGTAGTCAAGTAAAGCATGGATCTGATACAGGAACAAACCACAACCTTATAGAATCGTTATTTATTGTCAGCCGTCAATTCCACGACCCCTGCTCCCTGATTATATAGTCATACACCAGTATGCACTTGTCACTAGATTTCATAGCAGTATCATATCGGCAATGAATGTTGCACGACACAATAGTTAATACAAATAAAGAACGCCCTACACATAATGAACTTTTCTAGTTTACTATTCAAACGCACGACATATTACCGTCTGTCAGGTAATCGCTGCGCTCACAGTGTAAACGCCATATTAGTTTAGCAATGAACTGATCGAGCTGGTTGGTTGGTTGGTTGCTGAGTATATACTCTACACTTCACTGACAAAGTCGATGTTCGGTCTACGTGAGGGGGTAAGATTCAAAAGTCCTGCCCATCCGGGGTTCGACGATTTACAGGAACGGGCAGAAATGGGCAGAAACGGGCAGGAACGGGCAAATTATATATATTTATAAATTGCCAGGCCGAGGTTCCAATATATGTCTCTGGTTTATTCTATCAAAAAAGGTTGTTCAAAGAATTATATATTACATATTGTAACCGGGTATTCAAATTGACCACCAAGTCGTTATTTGTCGTGAATTCTTTATTCAACATAGGTTTAAAACACCTACACTCTGTAACAAACACAAATTAAAAGACTACAATTACTCAGAGCGTATACACATTACTCATATAGGTTATAAGAAAGGGAGGTAACTCGTAGATATCACTAGTTACATTTAACACGAATATAAACTATAAATGGACACATTTAATTACATTTTACCAAGATATCAACTTCGTAAGAATTATTATTACAATCATGTTATTTAAATTATATTAAATAACTAGCATAACATATAACATTAAACTGATATTTCAGAGCGAAAGATCTACTTTCCTATAAATTACTTGTAAAGATCTACATCATAATGCACATAGATAAACTGGGTTTTCCCATAAATAAGTATAACA